TTCCCTAAACGCTTGCAAAATATGGGCTGAAATTAAACGTAAACTGGGACTAGATGCAAGTAACCTTGAGAAGAAAAGAAAGGAATCTACAGGCCAATGAGGGAAATTGGGATATGATCAGCAAATCGAGATCGAGGGAGGCAAGGTAGATAACAGGTGTGATGACGCCATACTAAACACTTCAAAAAGGGCACAACTCTTGAGGAGTCGAGTATAAACACGTCACAAGTTGTGATAAGACGCGAGTAAGACATGATGGTAGGGGTAGATAGATAAGCCAGGACGGAAATATGAGTGATAGTACAACCGTTCGACAAAAGTAGGCCAAAGGATTGATTCAATTTGTCGCCTTAAAGAATTGTAGCTTGGTGCTGAGTCTGGCAAGATGCACTAACGATCTCGGCTAACCGTCTAAGAATGTACCAAATCCACGGTCCAGCGCTGCTAATTATCACAACTCAAATAGAAGAGGACTTCAGGCAAGGTGAATACAACTAGGTCGTCCTGACAACGCGACCAAATTGGGAAAACTAGGTTGAACCACTTGTTTGCAGGGAAAACAGATTGCAACCAGAAGAGGGGCCACAAAATTTTCGTCTTCATATCTTCCTTTTGTTGTGACATGGCTTCCTATTTTGAAGGAAAAATTGTTTGGAAGAAATTTATGAAATGGTCTCAAATGAAGCCAGAGGACGAGTGAAGGATGTTGGATTATGCAAACAAGTCCTCGGCTCACCATCCTGTGACCCTGATGAACCTGTGTACATTTTTCGCCTGTCTCATTGTGACAAACATCAAAGCAAGAATCGGTACTTAACGGAATGACTTACTTAACTAAAATGAATCGAGAGAATATAGTATATATTTTTGGAGAAATTTCGTAAAGCATATGTTCTCGCTCTGATGCTCTCTGCCATGGCAATACAGTTAAAAGCTTAGCACAGGTTCATCGAGGTCACAGGACGGTGAGCCAAGGAGATGTTCGCACGATCCAACAGTTTTCAATCCGCGACAATCGTCCTTTGATTTTAGTTGAGACCACTTCACTTCCTTGTCCTTCGAATGGAAAGTCATACCATATTAGATCACCAAAGATCTCTCTAAAACCCAGATTTGCTTCACATCGCCCTTTTGTGTTTATTTATAATTTAACTTATTTTTTCACTCCTCAAAGCCTTCATTTATTTATCCGACACTATTTAACAACAAGACGCACGCAAAGTGGCAACCATACTGCTGATTTATTTACAGCTCAAAGGTCTACCATGTACTTGGGTGCTTTATAGCAAACGTTGGCACGTGTCAAGAGTTGATTCCCACCCTAGACTAGAATTAACAAACTATTTTGTTATAGATACGAAGAAGAAGTTGGTTTCGATGAATCTCCTGAGATAGACCGACGAATCTCTTCTTCATGCACTTTGATTCGAAATGAAGGTCCCCCTAAGAATATTTTGTTATAGTACCAAAATGTCATGGTGCCCAACACAAAATGTATGTTATCGAAGGTCTGAAGAATGACGTCAGTGCACCAAGGTCTGCAAT